TAATCCCAGCACTTTGGAGGCCGAAGGGGGATCATGAGATCAGGAGATCAAGACTATCCCTGGCTAACATGGTGAAACCCTGCTCTTCTACTAAAAATACAAAAAATTAGCCGGGTGTGGTGGCGGGGTGCCTGTAGTCCCAGCTACTCGGGAGGGCTGAGCAGTGAGAATGGCGGTGAACCCGGGAGGCGGAGCTTGCAGTGAGCCGAAATCGTGCCACTGCACTCCAGCTGAGGGACAGAGCAAGACTCCGTCTCAAAAAAAATAATAATAATAATAAAAAAATATACTGTAATTTCTTTTAATACTTAAGTTTTTTTTTAGTTTGTATAGTTCTTTAATACATCTGGACTTTATTTTATGTTATAGGATAACAGTTTGACGCTATGTTTTTTTCTACATGGAAATTTTCCCAAGGCCATTTACTGAGGCCATCCTTTCCCCACTAATTTAAAATAGGGTGAGAACCTTTCAATGGATTTTGGTACCAAGTGAGAAACTGCTTTCTTAAAAAGGATGAGCTAGTTTATGCAAACTGACATGGGCAATGTGTATCTGCCCATTTCACTGCAGCCTTGCGAGTATTGGTATGGTGGTTGTATTGATTGTAATTTAAATTAATTTAAATTACAACTTAATTTGCGTTTATATTGATACAAAGTTATTTTCATTTCTCAGTGATATAAATAATGGTATATGGAATAGTTCATTGAATAGAATCAATGCCAAAACACCTGGTATTAAAGAAAGCCTTAAAAAATAAATAGGGCCAGGCATGGTGGTTCATGCCTGGAATCCCAACATTTTAGGAGGTCAAGATAGCAGGATGACTTAAGCCCAGGAGTTTGAGTCTAGCCCGGGCAATACAGTGATACCCTGTCTCTACAAAACAATTTTAAAATTAGCCAGGCGGGTGGCGCATGCTTGTAGTCCCACCTACTCGGGAGACTGAGGTGGGAGGATCACTTGCGCCCAGGAGGTTGAGGCTCCAGTGAGCTGGGATCGTGCCACTGCACTCCAACCTGCACGACAAAGTGAGACCCCATCTCAGAAAAATAAAGAAAGAAAGAAAAGAATAGAAGTGTGAAGACAGAGGCTCCCGCGTCACCCCTCATTTTCTTCCATCTTTTGTGCCTTTCACAGGATCTTCTGCAGGACAACTGGTCCTTATCACAGCCAGGGTGACCACAGAAAGGACTGCAGGAACCTGCCTGTATTTTAGTGCTGTTCCAGGAATCCTACCCTCCAGTCAGCCACCCATATCCTGCTCAGAGGAGGGGGCTGGAAATGCCACCCTGAGCCCTAGAATGGGTGAGGAGTGCGTTAGTGTCTGGAGCCACGAAGGCCTTGTGCTGACCAAGCTGCTGACCTCGGTAAGAGCCTCGGATGGGTCGCCAGGGTTTTGTGGACTGCCTGCTGACTGCTGTATCTTGAAGGCCCCTGGAAACAATTCTACGTTGTAGAAAAAGCACAGGTTTTATAACCCTGCCTTGGGGGCTGTGTGACTTAGAACAAGTGTCTAAACATCTCTGAGTGTCAGCTTCCTCATCTGTAAAACAGAAAACATGACCCTGTCTCTTAATTCCACCAAATAAGGATTAAATGAGAATGACTGTGAAGTGCCCAGCACAATGCCTAGGACATAGAGATTTGATAAGTGACAGCTATTATTGTTTACTATTGTCTTTAAAACATTCTCTCTACCTCAAAGGAGTTCAGAAGCTGTAATAAGAGGCAAATGGGCTAATTGCAATTAGAAAGATGTGAGCAAAGTGTTATGCAAACACAGAATAAGGAGCCATTAACCCTAACTTGAACATTTGTGGAGAGTGCTTCACACAGAAGGTGGTATTTACCAAAGAGCATTGTGTACAGCAGTTTATAATGCACAAAGTGCTCTTAGGGTTCATTAATTCATTTGATCTTAAAATAGCCTTTTGAGGTAGGTGTTATTATCCCATTTGGCAGATGAGGAAACAGGTTTAGAGAGAGGGAGTGAATTGCCGAAGGCCACACAACTGGTTAAGTGGCAGAGCCAGGATTGCAACCCACACCTTCTGTCAGGTCAGGATGATCCTTGAAGATCCGTCTCAAAAAAAAAAAAAAAAGAAAAAACCCCATGAGGAACGTAACCTGGGACTTGGAATCAGAGATCTGGTTTCTAGATCTAGCACTGCTTGCACTTTTTTCTTTTTTTTTTGAGATGGAGTCTCGCTCTGTCACCCATGCTGAAGTGCAGTGGCGCAATCTTGGCTCACCACAAGCTCTGCCTCCCAGGTTCATGCCATTCTCCTGCCTCCTCCTTCCAAGTAGCTGGAACTACAGGTGCCCAGCACCACACCCAGCTAATTTTTTGTATTTTTAGTAGAGACGGGGTTTCACCATGTTAGCCAGGATGGTCTCGATCTCCTGACCTCATGATCCACCCTCCTCAGCCTTCCAAAATGCTGGGATTACAGGTGTGAGCCACCACGCCCGGCCGCTTACACATCTTTAAAATGTGGATCATAATGAAGTTTCCTATCTCTTGGAGTCATGATGGGGGTTCAGGTTGATAGCTGGGCAAGAAAGTAGTTTTCAAACCATCAAGACAAATGTTCGAGCCTGGGCAACATGGCGAAACCCTATCTCTACAAAAAATACAAAAAAAATTAGCTGGGCATGGTGGCACATACCTGTGGTCCCGGCTACTCAGGAGGCTGAGGTGGGAAGATCACTGGAGCCCAGGAGGTGGAGGTTGCAGTGAGCCGAGATCGCACCACTGTACTCTAGCCTGGGTGACAGAGTGAGACCCTGTTTAAATAAATAAATAAATGTCAACTTATATGAAAATAACATTGGCCAGGCGCGGTGGCTCAAGCCTGTAATCCCAGCACTTTGGGAGGCCGAGACGGGTGGATCACGAGGTCAGAAGATCGAGACCATCCTGGCTAACACGGTGAAACCCCGTCTGTACTAAGAATTCCAAAATTTGGGGGGCATGGTGGCGGGCGCCTGTAGTCCCAGCTACTCGGGAGGCTGAGGCCGGAGAATGGCGTGAACCCGGGAGGTGGAGCTTGCAGTGAGCTGAGATCCAGCCACTGCACTCCAGCCTGGGCTACAGAGCGAGACTCCGTCTCAAAAAAAAAAGAAAATAACATTTTCCCTTTAGTTGCTCCCTAGATGTGGAGAGCCCTCTCCCTCATGGAGGCTCCCTCTATAGCCCTTGGGCTGGATTAAGATCTCCTTCTCCTCCCCTCCCTGTACCCCTCCGTAGGAGGAGCTGGCTCTGTGTGGCTCCAGGCTGCTGGTCTTGGGCTCCTTCCTGCTTCTCTTCTGTGGCCTTCTCTGCTGTGTCACTGCTATGTGCTTCCACCCGCGCCGGGAGTCCCACTGGTCTAGAACCCGGCTCTGAGGGCACTGGCCTAGTTCCCGACTTGTTTCTCAGGTGAGGTTCTTTGCTCCAGTCCTGCGGGAGCAGGGAATGGGGTGGGGGTGGAGGTTGTAACTGGGGTAGAGCAGATCTTTGGACTTTTCCTCAAAGACTGCTGCTTCTGAGTCGCCGAGAACCTCTTCAACCACAGCTTTCCCTTAGGGACTGGGAACAATTTGACACCGTGAGCATTCAATATTTTTCTAATTACTTTAACTTTTTTACTATAAAATATTTAACACTTATGTAGAAAAGTCCAATACCATAAAAGGACAGCTTGGCAAATTATTATAAAGTGGATACTTATAAATACCACTGAGGAAAGGAATAGAATATTACCAGCAGTCCACAAACCCCCATGGTCCCTTCCTTCCTGACTATGCCCTCCCTCTCCCTAGAAATAACTACTGTCCTGCTTTATAATTTATTGCCAAGTGTGTATTCCTAAATAATATAGTTTGGGTTTACTTATTCTTGAACCTATGTAGACAGAATCATACACATTCTTTTGTGGCTGACTTCTTTCAAGCAACATTGTGATTTTAAGACTCACCCATAACTAGTTCGCATCCAAGCATTTGGGTAACAATGGTGAGTTAAGAGGGTTCGCATTTGATGATTCGTCCTGGATATGAACCATGTTTGTCTTGCTTTTGTCCTGAAATTCTGATACCCAGTTTTATGATGAAAATTTTGTAAAATTCAACTTGAACTGCTCAGAAGAGTCTAATTGATGATACCCATTTACTGGGGACATAGTATGTGCCCAAGAACTTGACATGCACCTTCTCTCTTCCATTTAGTCATCGTTACCTTTAGAAAAAGCTGATTCTGTTAACAAGATCTTTGGAGGGAATCAGCTTCACAAACGTAGCAGTGGGTGGGGGTCATTAGGTTCACATGTCAGCCCACTAAGGGAAAAAATATTTCTGCAAAAAATCTTCACTTGTCAGAGGGAGGGTGCATGTAATCTGAGAGCCATGTTTTATGCATCCAGCTCTTGAACTGGTCTCAGCTTCAGCTGGCTGCGGTCACCTAGGAAGTTACTATGGGAAAAGTGGAAATAGTTCAGGCTCAGGAAACTGATCGGGCCAGAGGAACTGGAAGCTCAGGATCAACTCTGCTTATTTTGCTGATGGCTGGACCTAAATGCCCCAGCCACCTACTTGGGACAGGAAATGACAGGACCCTCTCAACCTTGGACTGGGAAAGGAGGGCTTCCTGCCCCTGGCAGACCCTGGGGTCCTGAGGCTACCTTAGTTGGGATCAAATGCCTGTATTGGTCTCTAGCTGTCACTCCTTCTGCTCGTTCCTCAATTTCTGCACACATCTCAGAGCTTCCTCTAGCAGCTCTCCGACCTGTTTTGTTGTTTTCTTTTCTTTCTCCTCAGGTGTGAATCAACTTCTTGGGCCTTGGCTCTGAGTTGGAAAAGGTTTTAGAAAAAGCGAAGAGCTGGAATGTGGGGGAAAATAAAAAGCTTTTTCCCCAGTGGCGTGTATGGTGTTTATTGGGGGTTGGATTGAGGTGGGGATTTTAGGGTAGGCAGGCTTACAAGTTTTGGGGACTCTTTTCTGTTGACTCTTTAGTTTGGACACAGGTTGCCATAGGGCATAGGTTACTTGAGCTCTCCCCATGGTTAACTTGGCTTTGGTAAACACCTGTCTTGTTTTCTTCTACGAAATAAAATGGATATAATTACAGTTAGTTGGGCGGGTGGGGTGTCAGGTCATGGAAATGCTGTGACATAAATGCACCGTGACCTTGGCAAGTCTTGCAACCCGCAGCGCCTCAATTTCCGTAAGAGATTTGACCTATTGAATTTTCCCAGCATCAAGGTGCAAAGATTCCTCGCACTTGGGGGCCCTCGTCCAGGCTAGATGGTTGCTAACCTCGGAGCAGTCTATTTTCCCGCTTTTTCCGCGCCCAGCAGCATCTTCCCTTGCCCCTCCCAACTTCCACCCTGCGCGCAGGCGCAGATCGCCGCTGCTGTCCGTCCACCCGCGCCCCCTCAAAGCTTCCCCTAGCAACAACCTCGGGCTGAGAGCAAAGGCGGGGCGAACGCATGCGCTGCAGCTCTGTCCACCGCCAGTCGTGGGACAGAGTGCCGGGCTCCTCCCCTTGCAAGCCTGGCCCTTCTCCCCGCCTCCTCCGGCCCGGGGTCCGCGTGGCGGGGCGCGCGCGCACTGGGGCTCGGCGGCTGCTGGTCTCCCAGGCCGCGGCAGTGAGAGGAGAGGGCGGGGCTGAGTCCTTCGCTGCCCCGCCCCCTTTGGCCCGGCGTCCCTACCGCGCCTGCGCGCTCCCGCCCGGTCTCCATCTTGGAATTGGGAGGAAGAGGGAGAGGGAGACCGGGACGAGACCTGGGCTGTGGTGCGGAGAGAGGCTGAGACGGAGAAGAGGAGAGGCAGAGAGGGCGCGGGGACCGTCAGCAGCGCCTTAGCTATAATCTTTCAGCTATTCTCGGAAGAGAGAAGGGAGAGAGAGGAGGCCGGGGCGGGAGTGGGGACTGTCACCCTCGGACCCCGGCGTGAGAGGGGCCGTGCGGCCGGACGTCCTCGGGGTGGGCCCCCAGTCGGTGGCCGAAGACCTAGGGCTCAGGCTCCTGGGTCCCAAATTTCCAGGCTTTGCCCCTCGCTTCTCAGATACCCGGGTGTCAGTTCTCATAGTCCAGATATCCGGGACTCGGGTCCCAATCTCTCTAAACCTGGGTCTCTGTTTCATAGAATTTCAAATATCGGGTTCAGGCCCCTGCGTGCACCAGTATCCGGGGTTCATTCCCCAGGCGTTCAAATATCGGATTCAGTCTCCATCCCGTTCAAATATTCGGGGTTCAGACCCCGCAATCAGAAATCCGGAATTCGGCAGCTGTCGCCCTCGAGGAGGGGGAGGACTGGACCGCGAGGTCAGATTAGGTTGTCACCCCCTCCCCTCCAGGGGAGGCTTCCCGGGCCCGCCCCTCAGGAAGGGCGAAAGCCGAGGAAGAGGTGGCAAGGGGAAAGGTCTCCTTGCCCCTCTCCCTACTTGGCAGAGCCGCTGGAGGACCCCAGGCGGAAGCGGAGGCGCTGGGGCACCATAGTGACCCCTACCAGGTGAGACACGGGGTGCAGGGGCGCGGGTCCCTGTGTCTAGCTCTGAGAAGAAAGGGTGCTCCTTTCTGAGAAGCTGGACTTGGGTAGGCCCTCTCCTCAGGATGGGGAAGCCCAGCTCAGCCAGTGGTCAGCCTCTGGCTAGCCTTGCCTTCTGTTGCCACCCCCTTCCCCTTCCTCTTCCCTTCATTGTGTCTGGTTGGTGGGGGACCTCAGGTGACAGGGTCTCTGATGTCACCGGGGTTCACACCCTAGGGCGCTTCAGCTAATCAGATGGATTTACACTTCAGTCTTCTCGCCTTCACTTTGCCCCTCACAGCCACCTCTCCTCCCTGATATGCCCCTTTCTCCTGCCTATTCTGCGGTGTTGAATCCCATGCCTCTGATTCCCCTGGTGGGTCTGCTTATCTGCTTTTCAGGCCTGGTCTGGTTGGATTTCTTGTCCTTGCAAGGAAGTGTGTGTATATATGTGTGTGTGTATGCTTGTGTGTGTGCTTGGAGGTGCCTGGCAATGTTTTCCCCCAGCTGCAGTTCCCTTCCAATCTCTTGCTCTGATGGTATCAATAATCTCATCTATTTGTCAAACGATCTGTGTTTTACAAAGTGCTTTGACAGCCATTCTCTCATGTGACATCCCCGCATTCACCGTGTGGCGGCCTCTTTTATTGGCATCTTCCCATTTTACAGTTGAGAATGTTGAGGCCCAGAGAGGTTGCCCAAGGTCACACAGTGGCAAAACCAGAATTTGAACTCAAGTCCTCAATCACATCTTTCCCTGATGCATGCCTGTCTCTTGCCATCTCTTTTCCTCTGAGTTTGGGCTCGGCCAGGGGTTCCCAGGAGACCAGGCGGGATGGGGTTTAAGAATGGGGGTGAGATGAGCTTCCTTTCCAGGAGGGGTCTACTCAGAAGCTTTTCCTGATGGGAGACTCAGGTTTTTGCCACTGCCTCATGGACTTTTCATCCACTGTGACCTTCATCTTTACCCTGATCCCAGGGTTTGGCCTGGATTCCTGAGAGGGCTGGCTTCTGACAAATGGTAGCACTACTGGCATCTTTTAACTGTTCAAGCCAAGCTGTTGGGGTAGAATGATCCCCCAAAGGATTAAAGCTTTATGGAGACCTTGGAGGCAGGAAAGGAAAAATCCATATGCTGAGTGTCTGCATGGTGTTCCTAAGTATGAGATCTCATTAAAATCTTACAACAGCTCCATGCTGTAATCCATTTCACTGAAGAGAAGACCAAGAACTAGAAGGAACTTATTCAAAGCCCTGTTGCTGTACATTGCAGATGGGATGTACTGGTAGCATAGCTTAGGAACAGGTAGATATGGGTTTCCTCATCTGTAGAATGGAGGTAACGTTGTCCATTTTGGAAGGTAGTTATGATTTAGCACTGACCTTTGTTATTGTTCAAGTGTTTGTTGTTATTATGGGGAAGGGGACCTGCATGATGTTTTGCCAGTGGGTGGCACCCCTTCCATGTGGCCTTGGGTCCTAGGTTAGCATTCTGGGGCCCTGTATTGGTAAAGAGGTCAGGAAGATTCCTTTGGCAAGTTGAGAGCACCTGCCTTTGTGTGTGGGTGTGTGGTGCTGGTGAGGGGTGCTTGGCACTATTGCTGGCAGAAGAGAGAAAAGGGCCTTACTTTGAGCAACCTGGGAGCTGCTGAGGGCTGAGCAGAGAGCAATCAATCAGTCTCCCAGGCTATTCTGAGCCCTCTGCACCCTGGGGGCCCACTGGAGAGTCAGGCTCCCTCCTTGCCCTCCAGCTTCCAGTTGGACTGAGGAGACAAAATTAACGACACAACAGGAAACAATGCATGACAGAATAAATTACATGCTAAAATTGTTAGGTGCTTTTAAGTAGCTAGAACTCTGCCCCAGGAGTCCAGCTCTGCTGAAGGCCCCTTTGTGCCCAAATTCTGACAAATGCTTAGGCTGGATGGAGCCTGTTTGGAATCTCCTTGAGGGTTTTGGTTCTGGTATCCTGCAGGAACTTTCTCTGGGTGTTTGGCTGGGTGCCCTAGGCACTCTTCCCAATGGCTGGAGTGGTCAGGACAGGCTTCCTGCAAGAGGGGAGCTGAACTTGGAGTGACAACTGAGAGAGTAATGGGCAGGCCTAACCAGGGAGCAGAAGGTTCTGTTTTCTGACCTTGGAGAAGTCCTTTTTCTTTGTGCCTCAGTGATCTCACCTAGGAAATGGTGATCATGATTCTGCCCTGTCTGTTTTGAAGGGCTCTGAAATCATAATGATGGAGGACCAGCTTTGGACAAGGCACTTAACCTTGCTGTGCCTGTTTCTTTATCTGTAATATAGGGGAAATCATAATACTTGCTTCATAAGGTTGTGGTGAGGACTGAATAAGAGATAATGCATGTAAGGTGCTCAATAAATGTTATTTGTACCCTGCAAATGTCCTGTACCTCTGTGTGATGCTTATACAATTGGACAGGACAAGTAAGGTGGCCCAGACCACAGAGAGGCCCTCACAGCCAGATGCCATTTATATCCCTATTCTTCCCATTCTAGATCTCCCCCCTGCCCTTTTTGAGAGTGACTCTGCGGGCCCCTCTGGCCCGTACCCACTTCTAACAATGGACGGATTTCCACCGCCTCCGGCCTGGCCATTTCCTGTTCTCTTCCAGGGTGTGAGAGGTTGAGGGAGGAGGGGGCCTCAGCGCCAAGGGGAACAGAAAGGTGCCTGGAAACAGTTGGGATATGGGACTTATGGGACAGGACACTTGGGGCTCTGGAGTGCTGCCTGGGAGGCAGAATGTTTTATCCTTGAGGGCAGATACAGGGGCTATAGGGAAATGAGAACTTGTTGAGTGTTGAAGGGGGTGGTGAGGATGCTTAGCTTCCCAGAATCTTCCTAGCAGTTTTAGGGACTCCAGGGACCCAGCCCGCGTGATCTGGTTGCCAGGGCAACTTCATTTTTTGGAGCTTTGATGTCGTTCCTAATCTCCCCCTCCCCTTCCTCAGCAGTGCCTCCCCCTCATCAGGGAATGAGGGGAGGAGATGGCAGAAACTTGATGGGTCCCTTCCTCTCCCTGAAGGCTCAGTCCTTGCTCTAAGGGTCCCATTTCCATTCCCCAGGCCAGGCCCCACTCTCAGGGCCCCCAGGGGCCACCATGCCAGCTGGGGGCCGGGCCGGGAGCCTGAAGGACCCAGATGTGGCTGAGCTCTTCTTCAAAGATGACCCAGAAAAGCTCTTCTCTGACCTCCGGGAAATTGGCCATGGCAGCTTTGGAGCCGTATACTTTGTGAGTTGGGTCCTGGGACGGTGTAATAGGGATTGGGGACTCTTCCTACCCCTGTGGACTTCCCAACAGCCCTTGCACACTACTCCATCACACTGGTCTTTCCTGCCTTCTCCTGCTGGGCCAGCAAGTCTTCCCATGCCTGGCTCTCACTGGGGCCTTCAACACCTTCTGGTCTGGTCCTCTAGGCCCGGGATGTCCGGAATAGTGAGGTGGTGGCCATCAAGAAGATGTCCTACAGTGGGAAGCAGTCCAATGAGGTAGGCCAGGTGCAATACAGCCAGGCTGGGGACAGGGGACTCCTGTCTCAAGGTGCAGGCTGGTAACCTCTGCCTACCCTGACCCCCTAGAAATGGCAAGACATCATCAAGGAGGTGCGGTTTTTACAGAAGCTTCGGCATCCCAACACCATTCAGTACCGGGGCTGTTACCTGAGGGAGCACACGGCTTGGGTGAGCTGGTGCCAGACTCTGGCCTGATCTTTAACCCTATTCACGCCCGTCCTTATCCTGGTCCAGTGTCTTAGGTGGGCCCTGTTCATGGTGCTGTTGTGGGATCTTGGAAAGGAGGAAGTCTCTTGACTGCTTTAGTCCTCAGACTTACCCACTGAGCAGAAGCCTGGCTCAGAGTGACATAGGCTGTTAGCAGGTGGGACAGGTCACTGTGGGTTGGAGGAGGCGGAGATTGAATGGGAGTTTGAAGGGATTCAGATGGGCAGTGGTGAATGTCTTGGGCCCGGACTCCGAAACTCTCCCACCACCCCCTCATTGTCTCCAGTTGCCCTTCCTCCCTGTTATCACCCCGGGGACATAGCTTGAGTGCAGGACACTCAAGGAAGCTCTGTTTTGAGTCCCTGCCCAGGAGACTCTGATCTCTGACCCTTGTCTCTTCCTTAGCTGGTGATGGAGTATTGCCTGGGCTCAGCTTCTGACCTTCTAGAAGGTAAGTGACTCATGGGCCAATAAGTGGAGAAGGGAGAAGAGCAGGGGAGTCATAGGGTAGGCTTAAGGGGAACTTATTCCATTCCCACCCTTGCGCTCCCTCGGGTTGATGTTCTTCCTCACTCTCCAGTGCACAAGAAACCCCTTCAGGAGGTAGAGATTGCAGCCGTGACCCACGGGGCGCTTCAGGGCCTGGCATATCTGCACTCCCACAACATGATCCATAGGTACAAGCAGCACCGGCAATGCCTGGGAGGGGAGTGCTATCTGCACCACCTGTCACTTAACTGGGCTTCCCCTGCCTGGCTTTCCTGAAACACATGTCTCATCCCTGTACTTTGCCTCTGGCAGGGATGTGAAGGCTGGAAACATCCTGCTGTCAGAGCCAGGGTTAGTGAAGCTGGGGGACTTTGGTTCTGCGTCCATCATGGCACCTGCCAACTCCTTCGTGGGCACCCCATACTGGTGAGTGAGTGAGTGGTGGTGAGTGGAGAGAGCTCCCAGGATGTTGGGAGTACGAGTGTCAGGGTCTCGGCGGGTGATTTTCCTCTCTTTCCTGACCATTCTCCCAGGATGGCACCCGAGGTGATCCTGGCCATGGATGAGGGGCAGTACGATGGCAAAGTGGATGTCTGGTCCTTGGGGATAACCTGCATCGAGCTGGGTAAGAACATCCTCTCTGTTCCCTCATCTTCTTTTCCATTCTCTTCTGTTGCTTCCCAGACTACCCCATTCTCCTAGGGATAGGATCCCAGGCCTCCAAGTTCCTGTCCGTTGTGACCCTACCCTGGAGCCCCAATA